GAGTGATCAAGAATAAGCTTCTCGAGTGTCTTCATGCTCGCTTTTGAAAGCGCAATGTAAGTACGTTTAGGTCCTGACTTTGAGAAGTTGGCCTGCACAAAAGGCAAGACCAGAAAATCCGCAACTTGAGTAATCATGGCCGATGGCGCTCCTTCAACATCCGTTCGAATGATTTGAACGGCTTCAAGAATATGTGCCTGCAAAGGCGTCACATATTCGATATCTTGGACGTAACTGCCAACTGAGGCTTCGTCCAAAGTTTCTCGGAGAAGTGCCAGAATTCTACCAACTCGTTTTATTTCAAGATCTTCCTGTACAAGTCGATAGATCTCTGTCAGGGCAGATATATATGCAATGAGACAATTCTGGTTGTCTTCAGCCTTTTCATCAACAGGCTTGGAGGTCGGAACTCCTCTTGCCCATAAATCCCATGCAATATCAATCGCTGTCTTGCTAAAGACAGACTTGCCCTCAGTATTCGTCTGAGACAAAATATGAGCAAGCGCTTTGAAGGTTGCGGTGTTGATATCAAGGACTTGAAAGTCGAGTAGGGTAGTAAGATGAGAAAGTAACTCTTGCCATAGGTGATCGAATGAGGGGTGGCCGGTAAGAATATCAAGGTAATTAGCGAGGAGGCTGGAGATACCGCTGAGAACAACGACGGCAGTCTCAGTCCACTCAGCCCGGTCACTGTCCGCAGCATCCTCTTCCTCATCCGACTGTAGAACTTTGATTTCCTGCTCAATCGATGACAAGAGCTTAAAGACTACGGACTTGACACATATCGACCAAGACTCAGGGCTGAGTCGATCACCGTAGGCATCAAAGATCCTGAGCAAAGTCTGGATTGCACTATTGCGAAGCTCAAGCCTGTCATCAGTGGTGACATTGGTCAGTCGCAGCAGAAGCAACATCCACAATGCTGCAACAGAGCTCTTATGACCATGATCAGCTGCCATCTTTTCCAGATCAGGAAGCTCGGTGTTTTGCATCATGTCTGCAGTGATAGCGAGAGACTCATTCTTCGCCGAGAGAAAGTCTGATAGCACCCAGAAAAACGTCACCGTCTAAGGAGAATTAGTATTATTATCCTCGTAAAGTTATTAGCAACTTACAGTCAAAGCAATATTGAGGTCATCATCTTGTGAGCAGAACTTATACAGATTATCCACCAGTATCAAGAAGCATGAGTTTGGTAGCGACGCTAGAAAGTCTGAGCAAATGAGTTGGAGAGAGTTGAAAGAAGACCTAATAAGTCTTGCTGATCGAGTGTCAAGAAGAATGGGGTTGGCCACAGAGCCACGGCGGTAAGCTGGATCGAATTCCCTGGTGATAAAGATGGTGCCAATGATCTCAAAGGCTATGTCCCAGCCCTTGACCAATGTTTCTCCGTTGCCCTCAATGATGCTTTGAAGACCATCGAGGATGATTTTGTGAATATCGATGTCAGTTGAGTGACTCGCAAGAGACACTTCTCGGTCACCTTCAAGGAGAGGCGCCAGTGACTTGCGAAGGGCCTCGAAGAACCGTAGTTGTATCTCACCACGAGCCTCCTCGGGCACGGAAGATGTCACATTGGCAGCTTCCAGGACAAGTTTCACAAGAATGTCTGCTGCCCTGGTTCTGACAGATGAGTTCATGGAAGAAGAGGTGAGAGTGCCAATCAACTCATTGGTCAACACGTCCCAACCAGATTCTTCTGGACTGTACTCCAATAATCTCTCGATGTTGATCGTAGCAAGCTCGCCAAGCTTAGCGAGTGCGAATTGATCTTCTTGGGTTGACCCAGAACTCATTTGCTGGCCAGAAAACCTACGGCCCTGTACGACGGGAGCCTTGAGCTGTTGACCATCAGACGGTGTCTGCGGCTGAGTGGTAGTCTCAGGCTGTTCAGCTGGCTTCTGTGTCAGCAAACTACAGACAGCTGCTACCACTTTCAGGAATGACTCGTTGGGAAAGTCAACCGTGCTCTCAATGAGTCTGGATGCCGCTGTTTCCACCGCACGAACCTCGGAGCCGAAGTTGGCCATCAACGTGGCAGCTTCACTGTCACCACCTGCATCGGGTCCTCGGTTCATGGTTGGTGTCCTGCCAGGAGACTTTCCGCTTACGAAAAGGACAAAGTCAGCCTGTTGGAGTGTCTCCAGAATGATACTCCAAGCTCCTGCCAAAGTTGGACCAAGCGCTATGCCCAAGTTCAGAAGTGCCCGGAGGCATAGCAAGTTTCGAGTATTTAAAGAAGCGACGGAAGCATCGAATGAGGCCTGTCGTCCTTTGTCGGCCGTAGGGGTGGTCGGTGTCAGGCTATCAACGCTCAGGAGGCCCCGGGCGTTGCTAAAGAGACTGCCATCGGTTGGTGTGCTTGGTGTTTGTGGTCGAGGTTGGCCAACATTGACACAAGCTGTGAGAACATTAGGTGGGACCGCAGCTTTGCCCAAAGTTGTGAGGAAAGCATCCCGAGGAGTCGATAATTGTAACAGCCCAGCCACGTGGGCAAATCGTTGGAAGGCACGGACTAGTCCATGATAATATTCGGAATCGAGTGCAGCATATAAGAAGGTAGAACAGGTCGCAAGAATTGCAGGCCAGCACTCCTCAACGATCGTAGCACATATCTTGACTTCGGAATGGAGAGGATGGTCCTCTAAGGAAAGGGGGTTCAGTGGAACTGGGTTCTTCTTAAAGGATGCCGACCTTTCCATCTTCCCTCTGGGCGGAGTACTCTCTTGCTCAGACGGCGGCGCGGGTGAATCTCGACCAAATTCTTGTCGAGAAGTTCGTTTTCGATTTCTTGTCTCATTGGGGACTGTAAGAGGCAGTATGAACTTGGCTAGACCGTCGGATACAGACGATATACAAGCCAACACCAAGCTGTAGAGATAAGACTCTGGTATAGTAGGTGCCTCTGTCTTATCGAGCTGATCAATACAAGGAACCCGTACTGAGCTGAATTGGGTGCTGATACCCGTTGTTGTTGTCTCTGCACCAACTGGCCCTGTCATCAGACCTGTCATGCCACTCGCTTCAGCAATGGCTTGCTCAGAAGAGCCATTTGTGCTTGAGCTAGTTGTAGGGAGTGACGATGAATGGCCCAGTCCAATCACAGCAGGCTTTTCTGTGCTTAAGCGCACGAAGGTAGCGATCAAGGGCTTGAGGACATCTGTCTCTCCTTCTTTAGCATCGAACATGGCGTAGATTCGTCTGAGCAGGGCATGATCCGCAAATATTCCACGAAAAACCTCCATGCACAGCGCTCTCTTCCAGACAGTTTCATCTTGATCGAGAATTTGTGTCAGAACAGTCAACGCCTCACCGCATTCTGATGGCAATATGCCGATGTGCCTACGCAGCATAGTGTACAGAATGCGCACCAGACGTACTGTGGTCGCGAAGTTCGGTTTCCCCTTCAAGGCCCCAATGAGGAGTGGCATTACTCTGCTTCGTAGAATCTGAGCCTGCTCGGGGTGGTTACTGAAGACGGTTGCATGATTTGTGATGACGGATTCAATGAGTTCCAGGCCGAAAGTCTGTGGAAGCCCCGAAACGCGGATGAATTCTGGTCTCTGGTTTTCGGTCATAAGACACAGATCGTTGAAAATACGGTAGGCATCGGTAGCGGCAGGATGATTTTCTGAATATTCAGCATCATTTGCCGCAGGCGTATCTCCTGCTTTCTTGTCTTCAGCGACAACTTTGTCAAACACAGACACGACCAGTTGCTGTAGCGTCGCTGCCGAGGTATGGTTCACAATGGCATTTTTGCTACTTTGGAGAGTAAAGCAAATATTCAGTGTCGTCACCAACAAGTTTCCTTTGAGATCTGATGCATAATTTTGAACAAGTGAAGGTAGCGCTTGCAAGATCTTGAGCTGCACATCCAGACCAGCTGAGGTGGCTTGCATCAAGGCCTCGAGCACTTGGTTCAGCTTTGACCGCGGAAGAGCTTGCGCAACGATAAGACGTTGAAGACAGACAATAGCGATGGCGGTAAACTTGGCATTTTTGGTACCACATGCGATAATGAATGGGTTGACAAAGTTAGGCTTCTGAGATAGCTCTGTCTCGAGTCAGATATAGCTTCCACTAACAGGGGGTAGGTAGCTTGCGGACCTTCAGGCGCTGTCTGTTCGGAAGGATTTCTCAAGTTCTTCAGCTCTTCTAGCGATTTCTCCGCGGCCTGTATACACTATAAGCTAATACTCTTCACGGTGATGAATAAAGCGGCTCACTTGTCGCAAATCATTATGTTTCCTCTTGCTCTCCTGGATAAGATTGGCCAGCTCCGTGGCAAGGAGTTGCGTCGTCATCTTGGGCAATCCACGCGAGTTCTCAGCTCAGAACAGAGCTTGTGAGTTCTCTGCAGGTCCATGCAGCTGAAGAGCCCGAATTCTTTTGTTGTTCGATGATGTATCTCTCCTTACGGTGCGTTGATGCTCGTAGGCAGTGATGTGTCCCTTGTAGATGAGGCGGCAGAATTACTCACCGCCTGCTCTTCACGTGGGGCCTTGGAAGAGCAACCCTTGCAATCATGCAAAGATGCGCCTTCATCATGACTTCTTCAGAATCTTGTTAGAACTTGTTTATTTTGATGTGGTTCGTAATTCTTTTCTCCTATGGAGTTTTGTGAAATACAGTTCAATTACCTTTTGAGGACTGATGACTCATTGCTACTCCAATTTGAGCGGCGGCTCAAGCATCTCTATCAAACACCATCTTCAAGAAGCCCAACAGACCTCATAACCCAGTAGATAAGGTTACTAAACCACCTCTAGAATTCCCGGTGAACGATGTTTACCAATTTTGGGACGTAACTCACACATACTGATGGCTTTTTGCTAGTACTTCCTTATTGAAGAGCTGTGATAAGGTTAAGAGGTTAAAAGAGGTTTCAGCCCCAGCACACAAAGGTAAAGAACACCAATAAACACATATAGGCAATATACTCATTGCCCTTACTGTTATCCAATGTCTTGCTTTTAGCTGAAAAGCTAGATACCCTGATGGCTGACTTAAGGGTGTATAAGTAAGTGCCTGTTGCGGTGTATTGTGCGGTCGGCCCAGAAAGTCAAAGGCATTACAATATCCGTCGACTTAAGCCTATAATCCCGCCAACAATCCAGCGTATTCCATCATGGCTCAGGACACCCGGCCTCACGTACGACTGACGGTCTCCAACCGCGGACTTCAGATCTTACTCGGAGCGCTCGGACTTGACAATACCTGTTCCGGATACAGCAGAGGCTCTGAGACCGATAGCGTTCTATTATCAATCGACTGTGAAAAGATAGAAAACCTAATGGATGGATTTTCTCAAAGTGATGATAGTCAAGTGGGCATCGCAATTCTGAATATCAACGACCTTTTGGCGCCACAGCTGAAAAAGAATATCATATCGACATATAACCTGGTGACAGGATCACCGTCGTATATCTCCAAGGCCTCGAAGAAGTTTCTTTTCGGAAAGTCAATAATAATCAAACCAACCAAAATACTAAAGAATATCCAATCAATCATTCCGAGAGATCGGCCTATATTCTCGTTGGCCACAATGTCAAAGTTGAACTGAGGGTATTAACTCGATTGGGGTTTGATTTATCATCACTGAACGCTGATATTATTGATACTGCTAGTATCACTGATGAAGTTTTCGGAGGTGCAGGTTATTCTTTACGGGAAGTATTGACTTCTCTCAACTGCCCTTTCAATAATTTGCATAGCGGTGGGAATGACGCGAACTTCACACTGAGAGCTTCACTCCTTCTAGCAGCCAAAGGCTGCGTTAATCATGGTCATGCCATGATTAGCATCCTAAGGATGATTTCTACTGAGCCAATCCCATATCGAACAGACCCCAAAGTCAAAGCGGCGAAGAAAAAAGAGAAAAGAGCCGCAAGAAGCCGGAAGCAGCAGTCTAAATTCTGGAGTTTTGACAAACAAAATGAGATTCGTGCTGAGCGCGCAGCTCGGCGAATGTCAGGACAGGAGGGGATACTCGGGAAGTGAAGTAACATTGCTAGAATATCTCGCTGGGAGGGCACTGGTAATACATTGGTGCAGTGTGGACTTGTAGCTAGGGTATATAAGACTATTATACTGAATGCTAGTCCCTTACTTCTACTGTAATCAAGTGCCTGTTAAATATAGGAATATATATAACTACTCGGGACGGGGGGTTGCTCAGTTAGTGAAGCAGCCGCCTCGCTGTAAGGGCAATGGTGATTTGACCCGGTAAAGCAGATCACCACATATGAGAACTGGGTTCATGACGGGGGAAAGACTCCCTCGTCAACGTAGATAATCTGCCGTATCTATCGCCTCAGAGTAACTTTGTCCCAAGACACTAGCAGGCCTCGCAAAGCATCCCGCAAGAACCCGTCAATAGCCAAATCTTGAGGTTTTTTTACAAGTTCTTTACTCAGTATCATGATTCAAGTCGATGGGTCGATTGAATACTTAAACTCAACTCATGCGTACTACTAAATGATTGAACAGAAGGAAACCTGCTATCAATCCAAGTTCGCGCGGAACAGAACTACATGTGCGTGGAGCCAACATCGCACATGCATCATCTGAACATTGGATCCAGCTTCTAGCAAATGCGTGCAACATATAGTCTAGTAAATCTCTTTTTGTGGGTTTTGGAAGTTTTACCCAAATGACTGAAAATCCGACTTGGCCCAAGCCTCAGTTCTAATAGAAGGACGCCGCTTGCTGGCTGTTAGTTCGCAACTGCGGCTTCATCGAAACGACCGAACCTACCAACTCCATAACCTTGTTTTTTCACCATGCTTTCTCGTATCTAAGGACTTTAAACGGGGACGTTGTTGAAGAGGTAAGACACGGATTCTCCGTTATGAGTTCGTCGAATAGCCTGAGTGTTTGGTCAATATCACGATGCACCCATCGATGTGATGTGACATACCTCAGCAAGTGTTCCGGACACATCAATGACCTTGAGCTTGGGGCATCGCTCAATCTTGTCACCCACTATCGAAGTTAGCAAACCGCGTGAACACGCAACACGCGCACAAGCGCATGCACAAAACCGGGTTCAAAGCTTACAAGGAACAGCTGGGAAATGTTAGCAAAGGGCTTTGAGATGTACATGCCGTGTTACTTACTGTTGGTGACAACGAGGCCAGAGAGGCATGAGTTGTTAATAGTGTCGATGGCCTTACCACTCAGAATACCGTGAGTAACAATTGCATACACCTCCCTGGCGCCATGCTCATTGACGGTGGCAGCAGCCTTGGCGAGCTATAGTGAGGTTAGCCTGTGTCACTTGCAAGAGGTTATGCATAGCTTACGGTGCCACAGGTGTCGGCCATGTCGTCAACAAGAATGGCGACCTTGTCACTGACATCACCGACAAGAACCATGCGACCAACAACGTTAGGTCGGGGTCGCTCCTTGTGGATGAGAGCGAAACCGGTGTTCAGGCGGTCAGCAAGAGATGTCGCACGCTTGGCTCCACCGGCATCGGGAGAAACGATGACACAGTTATCGACACTGAGGTTCTCACGGATCCAGCGAAGCACGGAAGGTTCAGCGTAGAGGTTGTCCACGGGGACGTTGAAGAAGCCCTGAATTTGCGAGGCATGAAGATCCATTGTGATAACATGATTCTGAGTCATGGTCAGTAGGTTGTCAAATATCATGTTAGTGAAACACGTACGCAACCAGAAACCTGGAGCATGTTTGCAATCAGCTTGGCACTGATAGGAGCTCGTGACTTGTCCTTCTTGTCCTGTCGCGCATAAGGAAAGCTGGGGATAACAGCAGTGATCCGTCTGGCCGAGGCAGTTCGACAAGCATGAATCATGATGAGCAACTCCATGAGGCCATCGTTGACATCTCCAGGAGCAGTAGACTGGAGAATAAACACATCCTCGTCACGGACAGACTCTCCGATAGAAACACTAGTCTCTCGGTTGGAGTAGTTCAAGCTCATAGTGTTTGCGATATCAATGCCGAGTCTGGGATATATCAGCCACTTGCACCCTTCATTTACCAGCGCAGCGTCACCGCCAGAGATTAGAGGAGGAGCACAAAATAAGGATAACATACCGACTGGCGACCTTGGCACTGATCTCCGGGTGGGAGCTCCCCGAGATGAGTTTGATTTCGTTCGCCATTTGGTCCAACATTGTCAAAGAAGGGAAGAGAAAAGAGCGGGGCGAAGAATTTTTGGCGGCGAGGAATAAATACCGTGAGCGCAGCGCCTCGGTCAGGATCGGGAAGTTCAGGTCAGGTATGTGATTCAGGTCGATGATCAACGGCGCGGATAAGCTGAACGTGATGCACGCACAAAAGAGGAAGAGGTTTGTCTTGTTAGGAACCAGAAGGAAGATCAAACAGCCTCTGACTAAGATCAAAAGTCAATAATGCGGTTCAAAAGTTTTCCATCTTCGGGTGTCGAGTTGTGGAGCAGTCGGGAGCTAGAATACTTTGTATACCTGGGCTACCAAAAGGCTAAAGGTGCTGGGTCATGTGATTGATGTCGTCTTCATCGCCTTTGATTGATCTGAATTCGAGGTAGATTTACAGAGGCTGAACTCTAAAATGTGCAGGTATGGGCTCAAAGTGTAGAGGTCATGATGAGCAAACCTAGACATGACCGCCAGCTGCTCTCGGGGTTCAAGAAATATTCAAGACAAGAGGCCTGATATCTTATGGTGAGATTGTACCAATCCCGATAACAACATGCCGGGGTTATAAACTGGGGAAGAGTATAAACTTTTGGTCTTCTTATGATGTGATTTATGACATGATAACTCTCCAACTCGATGAGAAATGACAGCCTCAAACAAGTCCAACAATTCTCCGAATTCCTTTTCACGCTTCCAATTCCTCGATGGAATCAATTCGACGTCATCTCAGCTCTTATCACTCCGCGTCTATAAAGACAAAGAACTGCCCCTCGCCCCCCTCTATTACCGGCTTGCACCGGAACCTTACCAGGATAAAACTGGAGCAGACTCGAGTTGCTTTTCTTTCTTTAGTCGTTCGCCCCGGTCAGACCCTTCCGAGAGCATCATTTGTCAAATCGCACGACTGATCTTAACTAAGCAATCTTCAATTCGGCGACTGATTTACGACTTTACGATTTTTATATTCGAACGAGCGACCATTACACTCCAATCGAGCAGCCACTTCCTCTCTACGCCCTCTTGAGACTATCGCATCAGACAGAAAAGCGCCACGTGATCCCGCATCTCGTTGAACCAGTGATTTGATGCCCCGTCACAACCTTTCGCCTTCAAACTTCACCGCTTGCCCTCCTCATCTATCTCATGCAAACCATGTTGGATCCGGGTCATCTTCCAGCATGGCACACCATCATTCCTTTTCGCCGCGGCTGAGTCCCGCTCTTGCTTCTACCTCGTCTCTCCACGATATGGCCCGCAACCGAAAACTCCGCCTTCTCGTCGCCGCCACTGGACCCCGCGATACGTCTTGGGCGCAAGCACTCGTCGTGCGCCTCTCGAAAAATCCACAGATTGAAGCGCGAGCGATCGTCGACGATGTAGTCCCGCGATTGACACAAACGATAATTGTTATGCAGAACCGGGGATTGGCTATGGGAGCGGGCGATCGGGCTGACGATATCGAATTCTATCGGCAACAAGCATTCGAACTAGTAGAGTGGGCAGATCTGATGGTCTGCGTGCCGCTTGATGCAGACAGCATCGCAAAGATGCTAGCAGGCGTTACAGATACATTCCTCGGCGAAGTACTTAGAGGATGGGATACACAAAAGAGCATTGTCTTGGTCCCCGGCATGAGCACTCATATGTGGTCAAACCCAATGACTAAAAAGCACATGAGTAAATTGCATCGGAAATGGAATTGGATCCGTGTGGTGACGCCGATATTATGGCATTACGAGGGATCGCCAAACCCGAAACGAGTACCCAACTGGAACGGTTTTAACGAAGTGCTGGGCATTATAAAGAACCAGGCCGACTTGCTAGGACTGGGAAGAGATGTTGAGGTCGCCACCGCAATGGCAATAACTGATAATGCGGACGTAACAGTCCAATCCAAGCTACCGCCGGAGATTTGGACCATCATCCTTGATTACGCAGGAGACTGGGAACTTGCGAAGGCTCTAGGGATGTACACCAACCTACCGATGCCTTCACCGTGGACAAGTCAGCCCAGAGACCGTAATGATTCCTTGAAGGTGTACGAGCACGAGCTCGAGTGGACAGTGCTGACATGCAATTCCGCGGCGATCTGCAAAAAGATATCGCAATCTCCACCAGAATTCAACGATATATCAGCACTGGTTATTAAACTAGTGATCAAATTTGGTCTTATTGACGTGTTGGCGTATATGGAAGCCAACCGACCTGATCTTTTTAAAGCATTTGACGGAACGACGCTACCAACTAAAGCCTCCGCTTATTATCCACGCACTGATGTGCTGGACTATTGGAAACAGAGCGCCTGGTTCAGAGACCGTCATGTATATGACGCAGAAGCTGTCGATGGTGCCTCCAAGTTTGGGCATGTTCGCGTTTTAGATTGGTGGTGGCGTCGGTCTGGATTGATGATGCGTTATACAGAGTCTGCGCTGGAGCAAGCCAGCGGAAATGGGCATCTCTTGGTTCTTGAGTGGTGGCGCGATGCAGCAGCACAGGACGACAAGGTCGTTCTACGACCGGGCCGGTCACTGTTATGGGCAACACAACATGGACAAGCTGATGTGTTGCGGTGGTGGGACGCTTCAGGCATCCCTGCTGCTCATGGCGACAGCGTCGCCAAGATGGCAAGCCGCTGGGGCCAAGTGGAGGTCTTGGAGACCTGGAGACGGCTGAAAGGAGATGACAAGCTCGTGTTTGACGCCGAGGTTCTCGTTTCGCCGACCATATTCAAGCACTTGGCGGTGCTTGAGTGGTGGCGTAACTTTGCTCATGGAGAGCTCGAAGGTATGGAGGGTCGAAAGCAGATGGTAGAATTCCGGACGTGCAACATCGAAGAGGCTCTTGAGGACAGCATAGGAGATCAGAGCGCAGTTCGACGATGGTGGACACAGAATGGGTTGAACCTAGGACTGCGAGACGAAGAGTGGCTCAAGACACGGTATCTTTAGAGCACACCTAGACCGCTGAGACTCAAACGGCCACGACTACGCCACAACTCAAGGATGGAGACCAGCCCTGATTCCGGGGCATTGGGTCCAGAATAGGTGTGGCAGTTTAGATCCTTGCATGGCATTGATTGGTATTAAATGCATGTGCCGCATGGTAGAGTAGGATCAATGGAGGTGTCGGCTAGTGCTAGCATCGGGTAATGGTGATCATGTTGACGTTCCTGGCATTGGTACATATCTTGGAGCGCAGGCGTCATTTGACATTGATTGAGTCTCTTGTGGAGACTGGTTTACGTTATTCAGGCATACGGAGCGTTTCTTTTGATAGGAAAAGGGCAGGGTATGGGATACAGGTTTGGGAAGACATGAAAGCGTGAACTGGTAATAAAATATCAAAAGTTACGTTTTGTGCAATTTGGTAGAGGACATTATGTGAAGTTCGTGACACATACATATCAGGCCTCTCGTACCTCCTGGATACTTCTTTTCAGTTGGGGAGCATCTGTTGATCATACGATTGTCTATCCGTGGCACTTTGACGATGGATCACACTGAGATACGTATCCATGATTCAGCATCGGATGTAATCAGACGAGTTACTATGCCTATCATCTTGGCATCAACCGCCAAGATGAAGCTGATATCTGGGGGTGGATCGACATGTCGAAGACGTCTGATGCCGAAAAATCAGTCTCGTCGACCGGGCCGGTTCAATCGAAGAAATAGGTAAGAGAACACGACTAGGAAATAGTCTATGCCCGACTACCGACGGCTCATGTGTTAGTTTTCAAGCTTATTTTCAGCTACGATTTCGGGTTGAGGTTTTGTTATCGTGACAAGGATTGCACTTGTTCTCCACACACACATAAACACCCCTAGCTCGATCAGATGCCGGTTCCTGGCTGTCTCAATTCTTTTCTAGAAAACATTTCTACCCATTCACGAGGATGAGAGAAGGTTCTATACTGGCCTTGTGGCGCTGGGGCTTACAGTAGTTCGTGAGGACGTAAATAACCGGGATGTTGCACCAATGCTAGGAACCGGGAGAGCAACAGACTTTTTTTCAGCCTCTTTATACAGAGAATGGAGACAATCGTAGAGTCGAAGATGAGAATGATACAAGAGGGGCCGGGTGGTTCCGTGTCCACTGTTTCGTTGCTGTCCGCTGGTCCGTTGAGAGAAATAGATGGCACGTCGATGATGCCACTTGATATTGAGGAGCCCAAGTTTTCATTACGTTTCGCTGGCTCGATATTCGTGGGGCCCCGCGAGCCCGGGACTCAGGATTCTCCAGATTTTTATCTGGAGAGATTTCACCTTGTTTGCTGGAGCTTGCGGGGGAGTCAGAGATCTTGACAGATGGACAGATCTGGGGAAATGCTGTAGCTGGATATGAGTTTGAGTGAAGGTATTCGCAGAAATTTTGTGCTGTAGATTTGGAGAAATACAGAGGTTGAGTTGGGGTCTGGTGGACGTTAGACTCACTCTAGACTACATACAGAACAATTCCGCATTCTCCATTCTCTTATCTCTGCCAGAGTTGCCCTTCTCCAACCAAATTAGGCGTGGTCAGGGGTGCTACTGATAAGAAGACAGACTCTAAGAGACCCATCCTCTGTACAGGGTTTGTATCATAGGACGGGCAGCAAGTCAAAGTCAGGTCAGGTCAGAATATCCCTCTAAACTAAAATCGACGAGCTTTTCCTTTCCTCCAATTCTCCTCTCTTCTTTGTACTTGAAAAGGAACACGTCAATTGGGCACAATATCACTCACGTAATAATGACTCGCAATGAAATCGGCCACAGTCCGACCAGACCGGGATCTTACACGCTTAAACCCATGCTTAAAATTAACCTAAGCTAATAACTCAAACAGAAAAAAAAGGAACCGCGCGCAGCAGGTTTTCTTACCATCTTCCCCCGCATTTCTCCTCTCGTTCTCGTGCCACTGCACAAGAGACTTTGTCTAGCGCGGTAGTTTTGCTTTGTTCTGCAAAGCAACCGCTTTTTCGGTACCGAGTACCACACCTAATGATGAACTTTTCCCCA